ATTTTTAGTAGAGACGGGGTCTCGCTATGTTGCCCAGGCCGGTCTCGAACTCCTGACCTCGAAGCGATCCTCCCGCCTCGGCCTCCCAGAGTGCTGGGATCACAGGCGTGAGCCACCGTGCCTGGCCCCTAACAAATAGTTTTCAAGACACAAATTCCTCCCTCAGTGACCAGCCCACGAGAAAGGAAGGGGCGGTAGACGCGGCCGGGGCTCGCTGCGTGCTTGGGAGCAACTCTCTGTCTTGAACTCTGCCTCGGTTTCTTCACTGGAAATCAAAGTTTCAGTGGGCGCGGGCCACATGCAAGGGGTGAGGCAGGGTGAGGGAGGCTGTGCCTCTCCTGGTGGGACTCACAAAGACAGGGGAGAGGCGACCCCCGTCAGTCACCTCCTGGGGGGAGGTGAGTGGCCCAGAAGTTCCCTGTGGTCCCTCCAGGGCTTCAGAGCAGGCGCTGGGAGCCCGGAGTGAGGAAGAGGAGGCCGTGGGGGCTGGGCCAGCGCGTGTCTGGAAGCGAGGGGACGCTCAGGGCTGAGGCGCAGAGGTGAGTGACAACTCCAGGGAGAACCGTGTACACCCCGGTCTGTGATAACGGCACTCCATGGAGTCGTGCAGTGCACAACCTGTGCAGCTGTACAGGGCGGCCCCGAGTGTGACAAGGCACTTCCACTGGAGGCCAGAACCGACTGTGCTTTTGGGGGAGTCGTGTGTCTCCCTACCCTGAGGGTCATTTCTCCCCAGCTGTGACTACGGCCACCAGCTCTCTGCTTTGCCCACAGAGCTCCGGGTCCAAACCCCGTGAGACTTCTCCCCTCGCGGAAGCCACTGGGGGCTCCGGGTTAGATGGTTCCAAGGATTTGGGGGCAGATTGATGGCAAAACTGTCCCTGTTCTAGATTTCTCCCTGTCACGCCCTGCGCTGGTCCTCCATGAGGACACAGAGTCCCCGTCCCACCCCACGAAGTTAGGCTGCCCGGTGACCCGCTGTGACCCGTGACGGCCAGCAGGGGCTGAAAATTTGAAGCCACAGTTCCGGGGTAGTCTGTTCAGCGTCGGGCTGACAGATTACACCCTAGCTAGGCGTGGCGGCTCATGCTTCGGAGGCCGAGGCGGGAGGATCACTCGAGGCCAGGAGTTCGAGACCAGCCTGGACAACATAGTGAGACCCTCCCTATCGCTACAAAAAATTTCTAAAAAATTAGCCGGCGTGGCGGCGCATGCCTGTAGTCCCACCTGCTCAGGAGGCTGAGGCAGGAGGATCGCTGGAGCTCAGGAGTTTGAGGCTGCAGCGAGCTATGATCAAACCACTGTACTCCAGACTGGGCAACACAGTGAGACCCTATTCTCTTAAAAAAACAAAACAAAAAACAAAGGGCCGGGCGTGGTGGCTCACGGC